ACATCGCACACACACGTAGAGTTCGGAATATGAATTGAATCAAAGGCACTGCGCATAGAGCGTTTTCGTTCTCTATTTATACCGGCGCTGCAACATTTTCTTTAAATTAGATTGAGCATGCGATCATAGTTTCTCAGAGTGATCACTTTGATATCATATATCGTCTTAGGTCCCTATATCTTAATAGCACTGGATATTTAATCCTCGGTTGGGAAGACAGTATCGGACTATAGTTGGTTATAGTAATTGAGTATATATTGTTAAATTATATGTGAAAATCATATAGAAGATATTCATTGCTGCTAATAAATACTTTGCGCATGGGTGATGAGTTGTCCACGTTTAGTTATATCCTAATAATGCTTTCGCGCAAGCGAGGTTCTGGTAGTACTTTAGATAGCAGTGAACATGTAGAAGAAACGTAGTAGATACATGATATTTCTCTTCAATCGTGATCTAAATGTTGGGTTTTCTAGGAGACGTTGTACATATTGCGGTATCACGTGGGTTGTACTGTATTAAGAACGAGTGCTGCCTCATCAAGTAATAGTAGATCTGCTCGAAAAACTGGCCGCGAATCCTGCTCCTACTGCTCGCACAGTCGTAGCGAGGGGTCTATAGAAGATCTAAGTTGACATTCAAGAAGGGGACCGAACGCTACATACGGTTGTCGTTTAGACTGTTAGCGCTTTCAAATGTAAGGTAGAATTAATGAGAGAAATGGCTCAAGATACAGGTGAACCACACACTTAAGTGACTTTATTTATGGTGGCTGGATCAACTCAGATCTTATCTTAATGACCTTGTAGTACCATATCACCCTATTAGAGCACTTCGCTCTCGCTCTGCAGGCCTACTTGTTGTTCCTAGAGTATTTAAAAGTAGAATGGGAGGGAGAGCCTTCAGTTTTCAGGCCCCTCTTCTGTGGAACCAGCTTCCAGTTTGGATTCGGGAGACAGACACTATCTTCAAGATTAGGCTTCAAACTTTCCTTTTTGCTAAAGCATATAGTTAGGGCTGGACCAGGTGACCCTGAATCCTCCCTTAGTTATGCTGCAATAGACGTAGGCTGCCGGGGATTCCCATGATGCATTGAGTTTTTCCTTTCCAGTCACCTTTCTCACTCACTATGTGTTAACAGACCTCTCTGCATTGAATCATATCTGTTATTAACCTCTGTCTCTCTTCCACAGCATGTCTTTATCCTGTCTTCCTTCTCTCACCCCAACCGGTCGCAGCAGATGGCCCCGCCCCTCCCTGAGCCTGGTTCTGCCGGAGGTTTCTTCCTGTTAAAAGGGAGTTTTTCCTTCCCACTGTCGCCAAAGTGCTTGCTCATAGGGGGTCATATGATTGTTGGGTTTTTCTCTGTATCTATTATTGTAGGGTCTACCTTACAATATAAACCACATTGAGGGGACTGTTGTGATTTGGCGCTGTATAACTAAAATTGAATTCAACTGAATTGAATTGAATGTTTGTGTTTCAAACAGGAAAACCAGCAGAAATAAATGACAACCTGCCAGAGTTCAGAGAGTTTCTGAGGTGCTCCAGAATCACCTCACCACTCTCTGCGTGTTTCCTTCCTGCTTAGAGTTCACTTTCATTTCCTGAACTTCATGGAGTGGAACTTATTGCTGGTGTGTGTGTTTGAAGATACTGTAAGTTTGCTTTGTTTCCTTCTTTAACAGTTTGTATTTAGGAACTTTATTGTTTGTTCAGCTCATGTTTGATTTATTCACACAATAATATGTGTCTTTTTATTTCCGGTCTCCTACACCAAATTCAACAACCCAGGCAAGCAGAACCCAGCAGCCACTCGCACAAAGACGCCCCCACACCCACCAGAGTTTCCCCTATGCTCACGCTGCAGCAGCTTTGCGCTCACACAGTTTATCTGCATGAGCAAACTTAATTTTGCTCATTCAGATCACTTTGGCTTTTGATGAAAGAAGCTTGTCAGTAACAGCAGTCACTGTGTATCAGTGAATGTATCATGTGTGCTTCATGGCTTCTTCTAGTGGACTGATAGCAGAAGTAGAGCAGCTGATTGCAGCTTCCTCTGCCTCACACTGCTGTCTGACTGCATTCAGCTGACACTGAGATGAAGCAGGAAAGAAGCAGCTGATATTTGGACAGCACACATGATGGAAATGATCATTTTAGTTGATGTCCACGCGAATTATTCGTGTTTCCTCTTCAGGTGAAGGTAGAAAGTGTGTGTGAGCTGATGTGGATTTGAATTCAGCAGCATGGATCTGTGTGAGGACAGAGAGGAGGGAGTCCCTCCCTCTAAAACCACTCAGAGGTGAGATGACCATCTCTAACTGTCCATGACTCTTCTCCATGTCACAGCTCAGCACTCACATCACTGCTCCATCATTATTCACAGGAACCAACCTGGGCTTGAACTTGGACCTGAACCCGAGCTTGAGCCTGAAACCAGCTGCGTGTGCTTACAGTGCAACTGCATGAAGTTTTTTATTTGTAGATTCACAAAAAGAAGACAGTTATCTAAGAAAAGGTAAGTTTGTGTCACTATTAAATTATCACTACACTTATTGGCAGTTTATATGCAGTGATATGGCTGTTCGATATGACCAAAATCTCATATACCGATAACGATATATTCTGTGAATCTCGGGCAACTCGACTTGGGTGAAGTGTTTTCAGCTGGGTGTCATATATCTGGAGTTGAGTTTTTTGAAACTATTTATTTTTATACATGAGTTTTAACGGCTGCTATTTTCTTGCTGTGGGGAAAAGCCTGTTTTAATGTTTGAGTCTAAGGTTTACTTTGAGCACTTGACGGCTCTTTTTTGCTTCTCATCTCTAAATTCTCTCCATACTCTTTCATGTGATTGTTGTGTAGGCGGTAGAAGAAAAAAAACAACAATATTTCGCAACACCATGAAACAAACGATAGACATGAAACGATAGATGTTTTAATTCATCATCCGATATATTTCGTCATCGCACATAGCTCCATGCAGTAAAGAGTTTTATGTTTTTTTTTCTTCTTTTTAGCGTCCATCAGGGACTTAGCACTGAACCCAGCTTTGTGTCCTTAAAGAGTGACTGGTGTGAAAGGTGCTCTAGTGGTTTTGAAAGACAAGAACTGTCTTCTGCAGAGAGGTAAGATGTTAGTAACATGTACTTTTTAACTGATTAACTGTTTATTGCTACCCTAAATATCCTATTTAAATTACAAACACATCAGTCTTATTTAGACATTTTCTTAAAATCCAGACTTTGTTTTCGAAAGAACTGAAATTCCTCTTCTGCTACTTAATAAAAAAAAAAAATCCCTCCAAGGTGTTCTAAATGTGCTTCAAAAAATAAAACCTTGAATTGGACTTTATTTTAAATACTGTACTGCCAACACCAGTTTGGGGTGTATATGGCTCATGCACTAAATGTTTGTCACAGTGTCTTCCATCATATTCATTAATTTAGGACAGTAACTTCATTTCTTGTGTAAAAAAGGATCAACTCGTGTTTTTTTTTTTTGTAGAAATATGATAAAAGAGAAGCAGAGGGAACCATCAGCCAAAACAGCATCAGCAGGTAGGATATTGCAAAACTATATGTCTTCAGAGCGGGAGTCAAAAGGAAATTAAATTTTGTATCCAGTAAGGGTCCTAGATAACCCCCCTAGATAATTAAGCCTACCACAGACATGATCAAGAGAGAGAAATATGAAGTCATACCGTGTGCTCCGGCATGGAAGGACAGGCGCCTGCATGGTATGATTTGTACCACCGGCAGATAGAGAAACTGGCCGTCCTACCAATGGCTGGACAAAGCTGGACTGAAAGAAAGCACAGAGGCACTAATCATGAACAAGAACAAGCTCTGAGTACAAGATCCATAGAGGCTGGGGTCTATCACCCGGCAAGACCCCAGGTGTAGGTTGTGTCAAGATGACCCTGAGAGAATCCAGAACATAACAGCAGGGCACAAGATGGTACCAGGCAGGGCATACATGGAACACCATAAACAAGTGGCCAGCAGAGTATACAGAAACATCCGTGCCACATATGGCCTGGAAGTCCAGAGATCAAAATGGGAGATGCTCCCTAGGGTGGTGGAGAATGTCTGAGCTAAGATCCTGTGGGACTTCCCGATATACACGAACAAAATGATGATGGCTAATATGGTCACAAATTTTAAATCCAACATGATAACCTTATTCCACCTACGATGTGGAGCTCCAAGTTTTTTGTTTGTTTGTTTGTTTTTTATAGATCCAATTTCAATCAGTTAAATCAGTAAAAAAGGACTTCTGGAAAAGAGCAGAATTCTTGGAACACTGTTTAATACACCAAATCGTATGGACAGCAATAAAATAAATACAGAAAACAGCAAGACAACAGATAGCAAAGCAAGCAAAGCAAACCCCGGGGTGTAGAGTCTTAGGCAAAGACAGCAGAGCCACACAGAGACAGACAGAAAAAAGCAGAGAACCGGAGTGTCCTCTGGCGCAGTATTATAGGGACCAGTAACCCGACCCGCTGGTGCTGAGCATCTTTCCACTTGTCTTCCAGCCAAAAACAGCAGGTGCAGGCTCAGGTACGGCCAGGGACAGAGTCAAGACTATGGCTAAGGGTCATCCGCAGATGGGTAACCTTGATTAACCCTTTGCTTTGGCTTATCAAAATAGGTCACGGCACATTCAAAAGTTAACACAGCAAGGGGCATAATCTTATGATATACATGTGAATACTTGGACTAAATATCAAATATATTGGGTAAATGCTTTAACATACTGATAAATACCCCAGTGTAGTTTTATAGTGTGTGTGTATACATGATTATATAATCCTTAAGGAGATTTTATTGTATTGTGTTCATTACTGACTGTAGACAGATGATAGTTTTGCTACATCAGAGCAAAATATCTTATGTTTATTGCAGATGTGTGGTACAGACATCACTCAAAAATTCCACTACACTAACCAACCAGATATAGTGGTACTAGACAAGCAGAACAAGAGGGCCGTAGTCATAGATGTAGCGATACCGAATGACAGCAACATCAGGAATAAGGAACATTAGAAGCTGGAGGAGTACCAAGGGCTCAGAGAAGAGCTCCTGGAGATGTGGAGGGTGAGGGTAACAGTGGTCCCAGTGGTAATCTGAGCACTAGGTGCAGTGATTCCCCAGCTAGGAGAGTGGCTCCAGCAGATCACAGGAAAAAAAAATTGGAGATGTCTTTCGAGAAGAGCGCAGTCCTAGGAACAGTTAAGATACTGCACAGGACCCTCAAGCTCCCAGCCCTGTGGTAGAGGACCTGAGCTTCAAGGTCTAGACCACCCACATGGGCGAATGGGGAATTTTTAATGTCTCTGTTGCATCATGTCTTAATTATTCTTTGGCACTGATTATTAAAAGAGTGAGTGAGATGTACATTTATAGCTCTTTCTTGTTCCTGTAGAGGAGGAGCTTGCCAGGGTACGGACAACCTTTGTGTGGAGGGTCTCACCAGAAATTCTTATACAGCTGCTTGATGCCCTTGTAACAGAAAGTGTCTTCAATGATTTGGAGAAAGAATCGATATTGGAGGGGAACCCTGTTAGAGCTGATAAGGCACGTTGCTTTATTGACACAGTGAGGAAAAAAGGAGACAAAGCATGCAAGATAATGATCAGACACCTTCAGACCATAGATCCTTCTCTCTTCTTTCAACTGCATTTATACTCTGATCCATCTGCTCTGCAAGGTAAGTTCATTTATCTCTAAATGAATGGTCACCTTTCAGCTTGTTGAGGTATAAAAGTGTGAAACCTCAGAATTAATTGTAAGAAACCTAATTCTATAACATATCTTTGGATTTGTTGAAAGGCTGCAAAATATTTTCCAGAGGACATGGAGGTATTTTGATGATTATTATAAACCTATGAAACTACTTAGAAGATCAAATGTGAGCAGCATTTAAATAAACGCCAGTCTTCTTCACTTGGTAAAACCATGGAAACTGATTGCTTTAAAAAAAATGAACATATATTAAGTAAAGTATGTTAGGATTGGGTACATATGAAAAGCTGTAAAGTAATTCATTATTTTGTGGGTTTAATGTGACTGTTTTCAGGAATTACATTTAGGAAATCCCAGAGCCCTTTTTGATGAATTTTGGGTAGAATGAGCATAAAAAAAATATAATGAATATAATAGGCTGAACAGCAGGCAAAGTTCTTCACATAGCACCCCCAGACCAGGTTTGACCGGATATGTTTATATCCTTTTTTAATGTTTTTTTTTATTCAGATAGTCTTCAGAATTGTCAGCCTAAACTTAAGTCCAACCTGAAGAAGAAGTTCCAGTGTGTGTTTGAGGGGATCGCTAAAGCAGGAAACCCAACCCTCCTGAATCAGATCTACACAGAGCTCTACATCACAGAGGGAGGGACTGCAGAGGTCAAT